TTAGGGTAGCTAACAGAGCTCCGTATGCACTGGACTAAGTCCATAGTCCACTCTAGTCCACATGGACTAGACTGGAGATTTTTTGAGCTCATGGACGCGAACTGGGCTGGTTTCAAATTTTCCAAACCATGCGCTGGTCCGGACTCGAAAAAAAGATTCGGATTCAATTAAATCGAAGGAATAATCAGTAAAAAACATGTTGTTTTTATATTGTGAACAGGACTGAACTACTTTCTTAGAGTCCATGAACTGAAAAAACTATTTTTCATAGACTCGCACTGGACTGGATTCAGAATTTTGAGTCCATAGAGAGCTGTGGTAGGTAAATATCATATCGCGAATATTTTTATTTTACTGCATGTAAAAAACGTGAATAAAAGAAAATAGGTACTTTTTCTGCATGTGTTGTTTCATAATTAATAATTATAGTCGTTATTACGAGTATTTACTATGAATAGACTTGTCTGATGTTTCTATTTGGCAATATTATTATTATTATTATTATTATTATTATTATTATTATTATTATTATTAACGATTATTAAACGAATGTTTTATTTGCTTATATATGCGTAATGGGAATAACGCTTATGAATATTTAGTTCGAGTACAGACATTTGAATTTGATATTGGCATATATTCATGAATAAATGAAATAGTTGCTTATGTTGAAAGATGGATTTTGTCTTTTTTATTCGTGTATAGATTGTGTAGTTAATGTCTACTTTCTAAGAACACAAATACTGATGGAAAAGTAAGATTACGTTGACTAGTTTTGAAACGATACTAGATATTGACAGTATTATTGTTAGACTAGTTATTTCATTTTACATTTGAAAATTGTCAAAACTGGCTTATTCAAACATACAAGCTTAACAAGATAGTAAAACTGCAAAGAATAAAGAAACAGAAAAATGAGCTAAACAAGATGGAACGCAAGAAACTTGTATTTAAGTGCGTGCAATGTTGCACGTTTTTTTGTGATATATTTCCTTATATTTCTAATAAAAATACGAACATTTTTTTTTTGAGATCAGTGATAGCACTAAAGAAGAGACGAGCTGATCAACCTTATTATCATGCTCTCATCTTACAATATGGTTGATGAGAAACATTGCGACTACACAATAATTCATTGTAAGAAAATGTTTTGTCTACTTTCGACGTTATTCATACTCTTTTTCACAGCGGATACAATATAGTATACCTTGAATTTTCGAAATACTTTAGTTTTCTGAATTAAACCAGATTTCTAATTGGAGATGTTAGCCACCCTGAAGTCGTATTCGATTAATTTTTGAACTTATCAGGCCGCCGCCGACAAATCAACAACTAACATCTATATTCATTATACTATAATAAATCTCGATTTTTCGTGTATTACTAGATATTATCATCTATGGTAATTTAACTTGACTTTTACTTTATTACGTGCTAGACTGCTCATTATTATCACTCTGGAGAGTGTTTCATAAAAATTTTTAAGTGTTCGACTTAACGAAGCCTAGACTTAAGTCATACTCGAGTATCCGTTTTGTACACTTACGTGTTAATTTTATACACTTAAGTTTGACTTAAGTCTAGGCTTAGTTAAGTCGAACACTTAAGAATTTTTATGAAACATCCTTCTGTCTTACATCCTGATCTCAACTTCTCTTCTCAAAGGTTATGCAGACTATTAAATCAGAATTATAGTATCCGCAAGTGAAGAAGCATCACATGTAAAAGCAGTAGTGGAGATTGTCTGCTATTATCGACATCTAAGTAACGAAGTAGTGTCAGAGAAAGTTGTTTGGGACTCTACTGCAGCATTGATATTCTAGGGGTGCATGATGGCACACACTTTTACCGTAGCTATTTTTTACAGTGGTAGTTTAAAATAAGCAAATTTGGTACCATAGAGTGGGGCATACTTTGATCTTCAGAGCAAAGTGGAAGTAAAATATTTTTTGACAAGCATGTCCCCAATGTGTATAGAAACGGATAATGATTCTTCTGGTTTTTTGAAGAGTGTTAGTTTCTACTTTCAAAAAGACATTTTTTGCTGAAGGAAAAACAAAAGATCTTAGAAAGCAGGACGGGAACTACCTCCATCTACTCCGGCATCCACTTGTTACTCTCTCGACTATAGGAGATCCAAGATGGCTGCTGAAAGAGGAAATAAGGTAATAATAAATGTTATTTAAGCTAAAAGGTTCGTTCTACTATTGAAGAAATAAAAGTATAGAGAATTTTTTAGATCTACTACAGTTACATTAGTAGGGTTATAAGCTGTATGTGTTGAGAAGAAGAAGCAGAACACAGTGTACAACAAGGCAGTGCAAAAGATGAGGAATCAAACATCTTAAGTTCATTTTTGGATAATTTAGTTCAAAAGTAAAATTGATAATTTATAATAGTTTTCGCGTTTGATTCCAACAACTGTGTTTTGTGCTTTTCTTTTGTTTTATTCTAGAATTTCTCCAAGTAAATGAGCCAAAGTAGCGACATCTATGTATTTCAGTTATTGCTCTTATAAAAGTCTCCACTGAATGGAAAATGTCTTATGATATCAGAAATGAAGGAGTTTTTTCACATTCTTTTACATGTTTTATGCTCATGAATGCTCATTCATCAACCCTTTGGCCAATGTTTATTCGAGAATTAAATCAATCGATCGATCAAATCAATTCGTTCTCATGTCATCGACATCCACTATTTTTAGGACTGGAAACTGTTATTTCAGGTTGAAAACACATATAGAGTGATAAAATTTATTTATTTTTCTAATTGAATGATTATATTCTTTCATATTAGATCAGTGATTCAGTAAAGAACATCGAAATCCGACTTTCTCTAGTAAAACAAAGTTATTTAGATAATTATACTATGGCAACAAAAAAATGAAATTAAAAAACTGCTAAAGTTTAATTCGAATATAGTGTGCGTTTGTGCTTTAGGAACGAATGAATTAAAGTTTAAAGTCTTCACAATAGAAATAACAGTTAGTCTTTGGTTGGTCTATGATAAGGGTCGTGATGTTGTGCGACAAATAGTATTAACTTCTTTTATTCCTGAAATTTCGAAATCCATTTAGTATGAGAATGTGACAAAAACAGAAGTATCGTACTTTAGTGATTAATGAATTAAAGAGATTTGCAAAATGCTTAATCTATTTTTTCAGATGTATGTGATAGCCTTCTTGTGTATTTCAAAAAGGCATCGACGCAGAAAGTAAAATTTTAGTGCATATTTGTCTATCGATGTTGCTATTTCAGCTGTTTTCCTGTTATAGACTCGATACTACATAAGTTGCTTTGTGTACAAATCCTGTACTATATCATGTTAGTTTAAAACAGTAATATAACTAACTCAGTCTTTTCGGTAAAAAATTTGAAGATTGAGTTATTAAGTCTAAATTTTCGAAAAACACAAACGCAGACTTTTTCTTTTTCTCATTAACTTTTGGAAGTCACTAAGTTTTTTCAGGTGAGTGAGTTTCACTCACTGTGAGTAAATCTTGTGTAATAACAGATTTTTCTCCCTCAACAGCTCAAACGACGTCTGATATACTAATATTCATAGTATTTTCTAAAATCGATTTTTCAGAAATTTGAGATGCAAAACCGTCATCCAATTTAGATTAATACTTTCCTTTATATTATTGGAATATTTTTATCTTATTACTTGCGTAACCTTGACCTTTGCCACTGTGTCATTTTGTGTTTTTTTCTCGTAAAATGTGTATATCTCTTCGTTATATATCATCGAGGATATCCCTTCATCAAAATTTCTTTTTGTTTCATATTGTAATCATAAAAAAAAGGGAGAATGAAATGATTGTGTGTGTGTGTGTATATAGATAGATTATATATAAGGTGGATACATGTTGACCAAGATCAGTCATTTCGATATATATATATATAGAGATAGATGTTTATAAATGATTTAAACTTTGCAAGGTTCCTTTTCATTTTTTTTCTTGTCTATATTGACTGAATAAAAAAAAAAAGAAAAAAAGTCGAAGGAAATAAGATTCAGTTGTTTACTTTTATGCGTACAATTTGAAAAATGATCTAATCAACGAAAGTCTAAATTCTAGGGAGAAAAAACAACTTTTCTCAGTGTAATATTCTGTTTTTAAAAGATTTACTAATTTTGATGAGAAAAATACTTTGTGTTTATGTCTGAGAAGTTTGCTGGAAGTAAGTTATCAATATTTACTAAACGGCATATTCTCAAGTGTGTAAACAGAAGCTATATAAAAACAGAAAAAATAACAAAATTAGTTGGGATTTACATATGATTTCTATTGGAGATTGCGTTAAACAGTTGAAAAGATTCTCACTCTAACACTTGGAAAACTCAATAAGTGATTTACTATATTTTACTGTCTGTGCTACATTTGTTGGAGAAAAACGTTTTCGTCTGATCGTAATTGTATAACTTATAACTTTGATGTTTTTATATAAAGTGTTTTATTGACAGAGTTGATTGATTGTGTAAGAACATCATACCATGTTCTTTTCTCTTAATTTCGTTATTATCCACCTACTGTCCAGGTGATCTAATGTTTTGTCATGTGGCGTATATAAATAAAAATTACTCAGATTTAATCATTAAGAATAGTTTGCCATATCTCATAATCCCTTCTTTTTTTTTTGTTGGAAAAAACCATCATAATCGTTTAAAGAAAAGATAGTTTTTACAGTCGTTTTGAAGATTATTTAAAATTCACTAATAGATTCTTTTCTGGAAGCTTCCAGAAGGATATTACTGTACTGATGTATGTTTTTTGTTTTTGTTGATACCTTTGAAATTGTGAGTATTGTCGACTGCAAGATTGAAAAATCACTTCGTTGTACATGATTGTAAAAAGAATGTTATTAGTTGCATGTTAAATGTATTAAATTGACTAGTTAAATAAATATGATAAATGAGATCTTTTTATTTTAGATTTTCAATTTTCATCCTTAGTGGAATGAGACGAGTATTATTATGAATTTCTATTTCAACATTCAATGAATATTTTAACAAAATCTCATGGTGAGCATTTACCTCCACCATCATTTCTGTTTGGTACCGGACCATCATCAACAACTACAACCCCGTTGTCATCAAAAAATGTTGCTGCTGCTATAACAAGTAGTTTGTCAGCTGAAGTTGGTTCGATAGCTGATTTCTTTTTACAACATTCCACAGCAGCTAATAATTTACATGTAAGTATTGTTGAACAAAATCAAGAACAAGAAGATGAAACTAATTATGTTCCTGCGTTACCATCAATAAAAAATACACAAGAACAACATACTGAACAATCTCCTGTTATATCGCCAAATCGAGAGCAAGTGCGTAATGCTTACTTTTTTTTTTATGTTGGTTTTTGATCTCTTATTATTTTTCTTTCAGCTGTCAGATGATGATTTAGATAATCTTAATGATTTAAATACATCGGGTAATAAGGAAAAACTCGGTCATAGACGAGTAGATGAAGCAGGAAATGTGACATATAAAAAGGTAGATGACACGCAACTGTTTATTTTTTGTTTGTCTCTGTATTAAAAAGTTTTTTTTTTTTTTTGTTTTCTTATTGCTAGTGTTCAACAGATGAATTGATGAAATCTTTACAAATTGGTTTAACATATGCATTAGGTAAACATCATCAACCACAACGACAAGTGTTATTACAAGATTTTCAACAAATTGAATATGTTGATTTTCCACAGTAAATATAAAAATACATTTGTAAAAAAGAAATTCAATAAGTGTATGTGAAATGTTCTTTGTTTTTAGTGAAGGAAGTAATGTTACACCAAGTCATTCATATCCAGATTTTCGATTAAAAACATATGCACAAACAGCATTTCGATTTTTTAGAAATGCCTTTGGTGTTGAACCATCATCATTCATGGTAAGATCTACAAAAGTGTATCAAAAAAATAAAATATATTCATTTCAAATGTTATTTATTTTAGGTATCATTATGTTCAAATGAATTTTATGAATTACCGAATGCCGGTGCCAGTGGTAGTATATTTTATACAACATCCGATGATTTATATATAATAAAAACTGTCTCAAAAAAAGAAGCACGTTTTCTTCTAAGTCTACTACCTGGATATTATATGAATTTAACACAAAATCCATTTACATTATTACCAAAATTTTTTGGTCTCTATTGTTATCAAAGTTCAAATAAAAATATTCGATTTGTTATTATGAATAATTTGGTACCATCAAGTGTATATATTCATGAAAAATATGATTTAAAAGGTTCAATTTATAAACGTAAAGCATCCGAATTTGAACGACAAAAACCAATACCAACATATAAAGATAATGATTGGAAAGAGAAACATAAACATGGTATTATTTTAGAACCATTTTTTTATGATCAATTAATACAAACAATTCATGAAGATGTTAGAGTACGTAAAAATAATCAAAACATAAATATATTCTTATTTAACATTTTGATTTATTTTAGGTATTAGGTAGTTTTCAAATAATGGATTATTCTTTGCTTCTTGCTATCCATAATATAACTGAACATATGCAACAATCTCAAAATAATAATCGATCTAAAACTAATACTCTTGAACTACCATCTCCACCATGTTTACCATTATCATCAATTGATTATAATGCTCATCCACAATTACCACATTTACCAACATATATTCAGTATCTTCGTGTCATTGAATTTATTCGACAACAAGATCCCACAACACCAACACAACATGATAGTAGTGATACAGGAGAGATTGAAATAAAAGTTCAAAATCAACCATCACCACCACCACCACCAGATACGATAAGTATAAAAACAATAAAACCTCTTTGGACGAATAATAACAACAACAACGAAGATGTAAATATTAATACAATATCGGCAATTGCTTTGCGAGCAACAAGTGCAAGTCCAACAAATTTTGATCGAACATCATCAGCAACAACAAACGGAATTAGTACACCATTTCATTTGCCAAATGCAAGCTCAACAGATTCTTGGTTTAACAAACAAAATCTCTCAAGATTAGCCATGTAAGATAGATAAAAAGATTTTCTCTTATATATGTTTGATTCTGTACAGATTGTTTTGCTATTTGTAACATTAAAAATGACTTATAGGGCTGGAATTCCCGCGGTTAATGAAAAAGGTGATCTACTTTTATTATATGTTGGAATTATTGATATTTTACAAAATTATCGATTAAGAAAGAAACTTGAACATGCATTTAAATCAACATTAGTCACAAAAGTGAGTAACGATGATGATATAATAGAAAAATATCAGATTTTTAAGCATATTTCTATGCATTTTTAGGAAGAAGTATCTGTTTGTAATCCGAGTCATTATGGTAGTCGTTTCGTGAGATTTTTCTCTCGCAGTGTATTTCGTAAAGGTAAATAAACATAATCGTTGTTTCCTCATAAATTAATAGCATGTTCTATTTTTAGGTGGAGCAAGTGGTAGCACAATTATGTCTGATTCACAATCGAACATGGATCAGGTCACATTGCACAGTAGCAGGTATATACACATATATATATATATCAATATTGGACTATTATCAGTTTTTTTGACAACAGCTGTATACAAGTTTTGTGAATACAGTGGATCGAGTAAAACTGTACATTCAGATCAACATCCATCAAAATCTTACGAGATTCTTTAAAATTTTTTAAAACAACAATAAATTCATCTTGTTTAGAGATATTTAGTCATTTTTTTATTTTAGATTCTTAAATCCCTCATCTGTTCGTTCTTGTATGAGTGAAACATCGTCAAATACAAATGATTTCAATAGTATGCGTTCACAATAAAATTGAAAAATATTTAGGTAAAGTTTAATGCCCACATCGTTCTAGTGTACATAATACTATATCGATGTCAAAATTCATCTAAAAATATATATATTTCTCATTTATTTTTAGCTTTAATTCCATATTAAACCAATGCAACACATAACTTGAGTAAATATTCCTCATGCTGTTTGTTTCTCATTGATCTGTCTCCATCTACTTTTGTTTTATTTTCTTGTTTCCTTTTTTTTTTTATTTAATTTTTAAATCATGTCAAACGTGTTGTTATTTTTCTTTTTTCTGTTTAATGCATAATAATATTTGTAGTTGTTTATGTTTTTTGTGGTTGTCATGAAATAATTTTGTATAGCTTATTTGTTTATTTGGAGAAAATTTACGTTTTTATAAAAACGGCAGATCTTAAAGAAGAAAAATTGACTTTTTCTTAGTGTGCATATGTCTTTATTGTAGATAAAATTGACGGAAAAAAGTGTATATCAACAATTTCTCAAAGGGAATTGCTTTTTGTTTTTCCACACTTGTTGTATGCCACGAGATATAAAGCGATTTGACTACTGGATATGTTGAGCTTCTTAAGCAATAAATAAAATTCATTGTCATTGTGAGATTCTAATATTTGGGAAAGGTTATTCTACTTTAGCTCTAATCAAATACATCACATTTTCACTTCCTGAAAGTTTTTATTAGTACTGGGCAAGAAACCGTACAAAAAACATCATTTGGATTGAGTTAGGGCAGATCGAAAAAAGAGTTTATTTTTTCGTCAGTTGAGTTGAAAACATTCTTTCTAGTATCCTCTGTACTTATCCATTTATCAAATTATTTCGCATTTTCACTATTCTTTTTGTAAATGCAAAATCAATCGGGTTCCCCAACATATAGTGACGTGCATTGGGAAATGGGAAATGTTTGTAGTTTACTAACATGACAACCATAATCGTAAAGTTCATTCATGCCTCTTGTTGGTTTTACACCACACGGATGGGCATAAGGCATAATAATGAGCTGATTTTCTGCGTATTTTCATGTTTAAAGAAAAGTAATTTAGTAGATGAAAGTTTTGAATATAAATATGAATTAGATTTAATTTTGTTTCTTATTTTTTCTTTTATATAATCTGTCATACATCTCCAAATACTTACTATACTATACTATAGAGGGCGCCATTTTGCTAGTATCTCGGTAATTCGAACAGATCATAAAAGAACAAGATGGAAAAAAATTTTTAAACTTTCGTCTATTGAATTTTTCCTTAAAAAACGAAAGTTCCGTTTCTGATTTCATGCGACCACCTCAAACTTAATTGATATTTTTTGAACTCTATGAGTTGCCCCAACGGGTTGCAACGGTCAGGCAGGTCACTGATGATCTTTGCACTATACCTAGACGCAATGATGACAGCCTCTCATATTTCGGTAAATGCCAATGAAATTGAGATGTTTTTATTTGGAGTTTATTGTTATAGACGTTTATCTTCCTATTTGTGAGTAAAACTGCAAACTATTTGTTAAAACTGTGCTTGCAGTAAGGACAGTGCATAATTATTTAACATATTTGTACGCTGCTTTCTTCTTTTAACGGTGTAACGTAAACAACTAGATGTTCTCTTGACTTTAAGTTATCAAATTTCATCGAGACAAATGAAAAAGTATTATGTCTTTAGATCTTTATTTTTCCGTTTATTAACTGTAGTGTTACTTTTTTATACAAACGTTAATGGATGAAGAGCAAAATTAAAAATGATCTTACAAACGAAAGTCATCGTCAACATAATCAAGCATTTATCTCTCAATTCTGTTCGTGCATCGAGCGGGTATGAGAATTATTTTGACGTGTCTTGCATTCCGGTACAAACAAAAAACGGGAAATTATATTCACTTTGAGAGAGAGAGAGAGAGAGAGATGTCTGATACCGCTTGATGTGATTCCATTTCAAGATCTTAAAATAAAACTGCTGGCTTTTTTTTATACCTTTTGTTTTCTTTAGTATAACATTCAAAACAAATGAATTGGCAAGATTTGCTGATGGAACGGCTACTGCACAAGTATGGCATCTTGTTTCTTGTTATTCAACTAATTCTCCTCATTTCGATTCTTTATTACTAGCTGAATAATACAAGTGTACTTGTAACGAGTGTTAGCAAACTAAAATCATCATCGTCGAATTTCTTACCGTTAACAGTAACCACATCTCATTTCTAACATAAACTAGTTTTACTATTCTTTCACTTCTAGGTTGAATATCGTGAAAAAGCAGCAGCTGCTGGAAGAATACCAACTAATCATTTACGTCGAGAATTAGGCTTGACTGATCATGAAATATTAACAGCGAGAATGATTGGTATGTAATCATCCGTAGTATATTTTTTCTCTAACAAACTTAAGTATTCATTTTTTGTTTTTTTAGATCGTGCAATAAGACCGATGTTTCCTAACGGATATTACTATGATACCCAAGTGAGAATAAAAAGTAATTTACCGCTTCGACATTTGTAGTTCAGTTTACTTTAGGTAACATGTAACATTTTATCAGTTGATGGACAAATTGAACCAGATGTTCTAGCGATAAATGCAGGCATGATCATGAATGCCACTGAACTCTTCTGATTGAAATGTTTTTATAATCTGAATTTAGCTTCTGCTTCTTTATATACATCGGATATACCTTGGGATGGACCTATTGGTAAGTGAAAACTTCTATATCATTGATTGATTTTAATAATCCTTCTCTAGGTGCTATTCGAACTGGCTATATTAATGGAGAATTTATTGCCAATCCAACGCGTCAGCAAATGCAATTGAGCGACTTAAATTTGGTCATGTCAGTGAATCATAGAAGAGAAATTGGTACAGACAACTGACTGTAATGTACTTTTCTAAATAAACTTTACTTTACGTCTTGTTTAGTAATGATTGATGCATCAGCAAATCGTTTATCGGACGATAAATTTTTATCAGCATTGCAATTTGGTATCGACTCGTGTCAATCAATAATTGATCAAATACGAATGCTAGCCTCAAAACCAAAACGTCAGACAATTATACAAACAATTGATCCGAAATTGATATCTCTCATTCATTCATTATCCTACACAAGAGTAGAAGAAATATTTTGTAATTCAAACCTTGATAAAATTCAGCGGGATAATGCTGTTAATGTTGTACGAACAGATGTGCTTGACACGTGTCTGAAACGTTTACAAGCAACAATAGCAGTAAATAAGGAAGAAATAGTATCAGAATCAGTTGAACAAACATCGATTGAAAAATCGATTCGAACCCCATCAACGGTGAACACAACGCTTATTCAACAACAATTAGCTGATGCATTTTCTTATGTTGTTAAACAAATATTTCGTTCGTTAATTTTTGATCGTTCAATCCGTTGTGATGGTCGTACATTTACTCAATTACGTCCAATTAAATGTATAGTTGATCTTTATTCACCATTACATGGTTCTGCTCTTTTTCAACGTGGTCAAACACAAGTATTGTGTACTCTTTCATTTGATTCACTCGATTCACAATATCGATATCAAGATTATTCATGGCGATCGGGTGTCAAACGAAAACCATTTTTATTACATTATGAATTTCCACCGTATGCCACGAATGAAACGGGACGAGCATATGGTCGAACGGATAGACGAGAACTGGGACATGGTGCTCTAGCAGAAAAAGGCGTTGAGCCAATTATACCACACCAATTGCCATTTATGATACGTTTAACATCCGAAGTTCTAGAATCAAATGGTTCATCGTCAATGGCTTCAGTGTGTGGAGCGAGTTTAGCACTGATGGATGCTGGTGAGGATTGTAATGCTTTTTTGAGTACATCAATTTTAGCTTTTAATATAAACGATCCTCTCGATTTAAGCAATACATTTTAAAGATTTTAGGCGTATCGATAATTGAACCAGTGGCCGGTGTAGCAATTGGACTTGTTTCAAAACAAAATCCAGAAAATAGTGCTATTAGTGATTATCGGGTATTAACTGATATATTGGTAATAAAAAACACAATAAACAATTGTGTTCTTTGAGGAATCCATTCTATTCTTTATTAGGGTATTGAAGATTATATGGGTGATATGGATTTTAAAGTGGCTGGTACAAAAGATTCTCTAACAGCTTTACAAGTAAGATAAACATTGATGTGTGTAAGTGCATGTGGAAAATGTTCTGTATAAATTATTTGTATAGCAAATATTCTAGGTTGATATTAAAGGTATGCAAGGTTTACCATTGAAAATTGTTACCGAAGCACTTTTAGCTGCCAAGGGTAATATTTAATATAAACTAATCTAAAGTTGAGTATATATCGCTAGTTAATATTTTAGATGCTCGATGTGAAATAATTTCAATCATGAATCGTACAATTCATGAACCACGTTCACCTCGAAAATCAAATACACCAGAATTAGAAAATTTAATTATTCCTATACATAAACGTGGACGTTTTCTTGGTGTAGGTGGATTAAATTTAAAAAAGATACTTGTTCAAACGGGCGTTACTATATCGCCTATAGATGAAACAACGTATTCAATATTTGCTCCAAATAAAGATGCATTAACAGAAGCAAAACAAATAATTAATGATCTACTGGAAGAAATAAAAGAACCAGAATTAGAATTTGGGGGTATTTATACAGCAAAAATTGTTGAAATAAAATCGAATGGTGTTATTATACAACTACATCCAAATATGCAACCAGTACGTTAAATAAAGTAGATTTAAAAACAAAAGATTCATCAGTTGCTTGTATGTCTAGACATAATATCGTTTAAAACTCAAATTTGAGTCTTTTCATTTCGGAAAATGACGGTCTCAGCAGGCACTTTTGAAATTAATACCTTTTTATTGTTATATTTTTCTTATGCAAGACAATATTTATTTTAGGTATTGTTACCAAATTCCCAATTAGATAGACGAAAAGTAAGTGAAAAATGTTTTTTATTACGTAATCTTGTACTGGAATACGAAATATTTTCTAACACAAATGATGAATATGTAAAAAATGTACTATTTTTTTCCTCCTTCTTTTAAGATTGATCATCCAAGTGTATTAGGTTTTCAAACTGGTCAAGATATACAAGTAAAATATTTTGGACGTGATCCAGTCAGTGGTAGCATGCGTTTATCACGAAAAATATTATTAACTGCTGGAGTTGGACCGGTCAAAAATTTTATGCCAAAAGACGATGAAAAACGTCAACAATAGCCAGTATGATCATATCATCATGAACAGAAAAAAAAGAAAAAAAAAATTTTTTCCGTTATTTTTATTACTCTTTCTGCCAGATATATCATTTAGTTCCTTTTTCTTTTTTCTTCTTTTGATTAAAAGAATGTTATTGTTGTTGTTACTCATTCTCAGAGAGATTTAAACGTACAAAAAAAATGACTTGTTGAATAAAAAGTATCTCTATTTTTTATCTATAAATAAGAGTGTGAGACGACATTTTTCTTATCATTAGAAAAATGGACTGTTTCTCTTTATCAATTTAAAACGTACAGATCATAAACGAATTTAAGTAAAAGTTGTCTATTTTCTAATCTAGATGTAAAATGAATAACAGTGATTTTCTTTATCATATGGTATGTTACATATATTATTTTTAGTTGATATCGTAATCTATTTTTTATCATTTTATTTTAGACCCGTGTTAAACAAACACAACGATTACCGTTACAATATAATCGTTCTCTGACTCCATGCATATCTACTTGGGACACATTATTAAATTTATGTCGACAATTTTATCGTTATATTTTTGCTCATATTCATGATTTTATTTATTCTACATTATTCGGATATTTAACATTAAATGAACGATTATATGTAGCCGTACATGAGAATGATATTGTTTCTGTTAAAAAATTACTTGAATGTGGCGCAGTACCATCATATCAACCTCATGATATTGACGATATTGTCAATCATTTAAGTAAAACACGATTAAATAAACGTTATAGTAATTCAACAACATCAACAAATGCTTCCATTTATTCTTCAATTGTTGAATGTGATAGTATGCTATATATGGCCGTATCAAACAATAATCTTTGTCTAATTAAACAACTAACAAATTATTATGATTTTAGAAAGCGAAAACATACAGAAGCCGTTTCATTATGTCTAGGTAAGAGTTGATAGACCTAATGATAAAATATCTTGATATCTATGTGATTATAGGTGAATTTTTGATGTTAATCACGAATATGTTATCCATTTTGACTAATGGAACTTTTTCTGATATATTTCTAAAAACTAGTCTCTCAAGACACTCACTCTAAATTTCAAGATGAACGAATTCTGCTCTATCTCGTTTGTAGAACTCATTAAGTTTTTATCTGTGAAAAATGGAACTACGTTAAACTAGAACTACATTAAGTTATTTATACTTTTGCATTGAAATCAAATAGTTAATTTTTTTGTGATTCATTGCAAAAAATTGGTCAGTAGTTCTTAGAAGAAAAAACTGTCTACAGATAACTTAATGAGCTCTACAAACGAGACAGATTAGAATTCGTTCATCTTGAACTTTAGAGTAGGTCTTCAGAGACTAGTTTTAAAGAGATATGTGAAAGACAGCTGCATCAGTCAAAATGGATAACATATTTGTGATCAATATTCACCTATACTACTCAAAGAGATATCAAGAAAAACGTGATCGAATACTAGAGAATGTTCCCTCATTAGCAATAAAAGTTAACGATAGTAGATCAATTTCCTAATTTTTTCATCTGTAAAAAGGTACAGAAGGAAAGATACATACCAATTTAAACTCGAAGATAAAAGCAGAGTGTTATCTTCACTGTAGACGAATAGCATTCGACTGAGCACTGTTATGATTCAAGATGGGAAAAGCTTGGCAGAGTAGCACCTATCGGTGCTAAACTGTGAAACTCATAAGTATACCGTTATAGAATAAATTAGCTTACTTTTGTACGATCAAGTAAAGCAGCTTTTCAGTTCGTATAAAGGTATTTTTAAGATCGCGTAAAGGTATCATCGTCAGTCGTGTAAAACTTTTCAGAGCATGTAAAGGCTTTTTAAGGTCTGATAGGGGCCACTTTAAGAAAGTGTAAGTTCATATCTAGATTTAGAATCGTGGAAGCAAGACGATGATAGGTAAAAATGAAGATAAATTTTAGGAGTATCCATGATCACATCGTACTCGAACTGCGTGACTTATTTTCGGAACTACATTGCTGGTCCAAAATAAACTTTCTCGCATGGTAATCTGGCATATGCACCATCTGAGAGAAAAAAACTTAATAGAGGCTACAGCTACACATTAGAATCCTCCAGAAAATGTCCAAGGAGAAAAAAATGTATCCTCATGTAACCATAGTAGAAAACTGAAACATAAATGCAGACGTACCACCAACTAAAGTCAGATTTAACATACAATCAAAAACCCATAGAGGGTAAAGATAAAACAAAGAGCGACATAACGTCGCGTAAAAGCACTGTAAAATCATGTAAACCCAGCCTTCAGATGGTGTACATACACACAATACATTACAACTCAATGTCTCTAAAAGATGTGTATAACCTTAAGATGGCGTAATGGTCACTTTAAGATCGTGTAAAACACAGTTTAAGATCACGTAAAGGTACCATAGTCAGTCGTGTAAGCCTTTTCAAATCGTGTAAGGGTCTGTTTCAGATGGCGTATAGTCCATTTTAAGATCATGTAAGAGTACTTTTAAGTGCGTGTAAGCAGGAGAAGGGGGAGTCCAAAATAACTAGTTTTCGCCTGGTTTTTGAGTATAAAGTGAAACTCCCTCTACTTTGTAAGACGGGAGGAGTTTCACAAAATGTCGTAAAAAAAAATAAAATAAAAACTGTTCTTATTTTCTCCTTAGCTATTAAACGTGGTTATTTTTCACGATATAATCATGATAATATTGTTGAACATTTAATTGATTATGCTCATATAAATCCTAATGATTGTGTTCAAACAGGTTGTAAACATTGTAAATGTGGAAAAAATTTAGAACAAAAATATCAATTTCCATTATATCATGCATGTAAAGATAATCATTTTGATCTAGTTAAATATTTATTAGAAGAAAAACATTGTCATATAAATCAATTAACAACTACTTATGAAACAGCATTACACGGAGCACTTCTAGGTGAATTTGAAAATAAATATGATACATCACGTAATAGTGAACAACGTTATTTAATTGTCAATTATTTATTGAATAGAAAAGATTGTGATCCAAACATAGGTAAATATTAAAATTCATTTTTTTTAAATGTATGATAAAATAAGTAATAAATTAAAATTTTCTTATTTATTAGGTGTTAATCCACTATGTGTATCATTATTTTCTGAAACATACGATTATACAACATTATTACTTGATTTTAAATGTGATGTTAATCGTTTGGGTTATGATTGTTCATCAAAATTAACACAAGATGGTCGAGATTTATTATATCCACTTGATCATCCATTATGTATATGTTTACGTTTATTAATATCATTGAAAGAGAAGAGACATTCATCTACACATCATGAAACACGATTAGTACCTGGTCATTATTCAAAAGAACATGCTATTCGTTTAATAAAATCAAATTCAAATATTTATGCTTGTTATGATAAAGGAAGTTATCCATTATTATTATGTGTTAAAACAAATGAAGTAGATTTAGTAGAATTAATGTTAGAACAAAATTGGTCATATTTACAATTTGATATTATTCAACCATTAATAGAAGCATGCATTCAATCACGTTGTAATATTGTTAAATTATTTATTCGTAATGGATATAATCCAAATACAATTGTCAAAACATTAGCGAATAAACAATTTGATATCAAACGTAAGTGATTAAAAGTTAAAATTCAGATAAATTTATAATTTTTAATTATTTAGGTTCTTTACCAAATTCATCATCATCATCATCATCATCACCATCTTCATCCATATTATCCAATTTAAATCGTTATTGTTCAATATTACTTCCATTACTACCAGCCTATGATGTTGATAAATATTCAAATTCTACACCATTTCTTTCTCTATGTCGATCATCATCATTATTATTTCATGAAGATTTGTATGAGTCAACAATGAAAACAGTTGAAAATTTATTTTCTCAAAATTCTGTTCATTTTTCATCGTATCTTGCAGCACAATCATTTTTTTATAGTCTTCAAAATGAACATTATCCATTTGTTTATTTATGTATTGAACATGGATGTCTATTAGAATTATTTTCAAATAAGTTAAATTTTAAAACAACAAAAATGACACGATTTTGTTATACATTATTTTCTATCATTGATTTATGTTTCCGATGTTCACTTAGTGATACGGTGAAACAATCATTATTGAAAGCTTATTCGAAAACACAATTAAAAATAATTTCATACGACGTGTAAGTAAGAGAGAATGATGAAAATAGGCGGAGTCTCATAACATCGATAGATTAAATTACTTCCGGATATCCACAGTTGTAGTGTTAATATAATTAGTTATCAACGTAGAATAACTGCGTACAGCTTGGACATATAACGATTTCTTTTTTTTACTCTTTTCAACAAATAATTGCGAACAAAGCTAAAATCTTATTTAAAAGTCCCAATAGATAATCGAGTAGATTAGATGTCCTATACAAAATAAGAAGTGTCTTGGTTCTGGATATTGATTTATTATAAAAATAGAACTATTTTACAAACAACACAACAAAAAAAATCAATTTTGGGATTATTTGTGAAACGTTGTTAAAAGAATGAAGATGAGCAGACAAAAATCCGAAAAGTATCCCACTTTATAGAGAATTATGAAATAAAAAAATTTTCACGCTAAAAGTTGAAGTTGAAAACGAGTGTCAAATTCATTTTGTATGATCAGCTGTCTGTAGTATCAAGGATTAAATTCCCTAAAGGATGAAATTGGTACGCTTGTTGTTCGTCAAACTTTTACTAATATCAATGGATCTCAACATATACATTTTTATTCATTTTTTTTTCTTTCTTTTCTAGACTAAGTACAAAGTCAAGCGTATGCGCATATATTCAACTGTGGTTTAATAATAAATATGATTTATTTATGAATGATCCAATTTTAATTGAACATATTCGACAATTACCTTATACAACAGATATTATCCGAGATAAAAATTTATCATCAAAAATTATTAATCATATGGATACAACAATATCAACAGTATCAAACTTAAAACATTTATGTCGATTAAAAATACGTTCAAAATTACCTAAACAACGATCAAATTTATTTTCAATTATTAAAAAAAATTTCATTGATCAAGGACAATTACCTATTACATTATGTTCTTATTTATTCTATGATAAATACGAATCCCATACTTTAATTGATCATTTATTACATGGTAAAAAATGGAATGATATTGATTGGATTTAACCTTAGCTAATAGAGTCTTAAAACTGTTTTTGTTTACTCCTGCTACTTTATGATTTTGTTTTTTTTGTTTCTTTTTTATACACCTGTTTGTCAAGTATATAGATAGATGATGTGATATAGATGTAAACACTCAGTAAACAACGATATTGTATGGACAACGCATTTTATTTGTGTTGTTGCTCAATATATTTCTCATGTATTATCTTATATTCTTTTTACGCAATAGTCACATCTATTTTGTAGTGAACAGTGTTGTAAACGAACATTTAAAAAAACACAAGGAATAATCTCGTGAACTGCATTTTTGTAATTAAACAAATACACAGTATTGCTAGTCTCGATTTATATTGATTTTTGTTTCAAAGTCATTCTTTTGTATACCCATTTTCTTCTTTGTTTTCCATTTTTTTTTCTCAAAAAATAAACAAGACATCAATACATTCAAGTAAAGAATGAAATTATTTTCTAATATAATATTTGAATTTACACTTTCGGTTAGGTTACTATCTCTGATAAATAAAAAGAATTTATATTTATTATCTATCCTATAGAAAGAAATACTGAATTTTTATTTTAAAAACGTTTCTTGCTGAATTTTGGATGAGTAGTTTCTAACAGACCAGTTCGATGACCGATAATAATTAACACAGATTATTTGTTTCGACAAGTTGATGATTGTGCTATGAACGAGGAAATCTTTCCTAGTGATCTGAAGCTTTTTTAATTAAAACTCACTTAATTTTGCTATGGGTTATACTTGATCACGCATCACATTGAATTTCTGACTGAGTCTCCAGAAATCTGGTCCAAAGGACCATCATGAAGTTGAGAATGAAGAAATTCTGATACGATCAGTTTGTAGAGCTTATCGAGTTGTCTCTGTGGAAAAACTTATTAGAACTATCGAACAAGTTTTAGTTGAGTTATAAAAAGTTTAATATTAAAAAATGTGACAACGTCAAATATTTCGCTGTATTTGAGATGAATATATTTATAACTCAATTAAAACTTGTTCGATAATTCTAATAAGTTTTTCCACAGAGATAACTTAATAAGCTCTACAAACTGGTCAGATTAGAATTTCTTCATTCTCAACTTCATAGTGATTCTCTCTATCACTGTTAAAAAGTTTTACATCAAAATAATGTTCGAATGTGTGAAAATAGGTCAAAAACGTTATATAACGAACAAAAACTCATTAAACGTTAATAAAGTGAAAATGTGTAGCAGTAGTACACTATAAAGCATTATATACTACATTAATGTTACACATTTTCACTTTATAAAACGTTTAATGAGTTTTTGTTCGTTATACTTAGGGCAATCCAAAAGTAGTGAGGGAGGTACTTTATTTTCTTAAGAAGCGCTTCAAAAACATTTCTCTTTTAATGAACAGATAGAGCGTCTTTCGCTCTATTTTTCTATGCTATTTGATCAATATTCAACTAATATTATAATAATAAAATTTCGATAA